AAAAAATTGCCATAAAAATAATCACATTTGTCCAGTAAATCTTGCAAAAAACAGTGCTTGGGTTTGATTTCTGATTTCGTTATTTCTCCATTTTTCTTTTGCAGATCTGCATAACTGCAGGTGCAAATGATGTCCTCTAGACCAGCAACACTTTGTCTGAAGAGAAGATACACTGTCATATACTTAGAAAGATATAGGAGCACAGAGGCTGTAGGCATCCAGACCATTTTGAAATTCCATTTCTACAGCTCCTCCGAAAAATCCTGTCCATAAACGGCATCAGTTATACCCACCAACGGGTATGTCTGAAAAATTACATATGAAATTATTTATATTTGCAAAATTGCAGGTGCAAACCAGACATACATTTCAGGTGAAGCTAAAAATTAGATCCTAGTTGCATTAGCAGTAGCTACATCATGTAATGCATCAGCACAATTGGTAGACAAGGGCACAGAATGCAGCATTTGTGGATTATTATTTATTCTTTATATTGCCCCATAAATATGCACAGTGCATAATAGAGACGTAGAAACCATAGTCCCTGCCCTAGCCTCTACATTTTTTCGAGGGCTTTTTTTGAATCCCTCAGGGAGCCATCTCCAGGGCCAAAGTGAAGCAAAATACAGCCTTTTGCGTTGCAGAAACACTGCGATGTTATTTTGGCACAAATGTCTTCAAAAGGCATTAAGAGACAGGTGAAAAAAGAGAACACCAACGCCACTATTTCCAGCATTATTTGGAACCCTATAAAGGAAGAATTCACAGCCCTGTTCCTGACACTAATTGCCTGCCTTGTTCCTACCCTTCACCCAGAGGCCAAAGATTGAATGGCCTGAAAAGATGAGTAAAATCTATCAACGAGACATGGATTTCTTTGTTACTCTTCTGTTAATAGTAATTCCTATTACTTGGACGATAGCAGCAGTTAGAGGACCCAGTAAAGCTCAGTCTTACTCCACCCCGTGCTGCACAAGCACGCTGCCCAGGAGAACTCAGGTTTCCAGGCAAAGCCTTGGGGGAGAGGAGAGACGCCTTCTCCCTGCTTGTGAAGGGGAACGGAGACAGAAGGAGATTAAGTGACAAGGCCAAAGTCATACAAGAGATCTTTGGCAGAGCCACACACCCAACATAGATTTCCTCAGTCCTCTTTCAGCACTCCTACAATCTGCTATCCATATGCTATCTTTCCTTTGTTCCCTCAGCTTAGCAGCCAGGCACACTGGCAGGGGACTGCAAAGAGAGCTCCCACTGCCACTGTTTGTGCCTTACCTGCTGTGTAGATAAAGAGGGGTCATCAGCCTCCAGGGCTGTGAGGCGATACCTTCACAAACTCTGCATTCATAGGGTACTGGGTCCTCATTCCAGAATGATAAATGAGGTGTGTAATGTTGAGAAATACATGTCATTGACATAGTACCTTTAATGAAAATCTCACTTCCAGCATTTTGTAAGTGACAGATTACTGACCTCGCTTATTCAAACAATAGCCATTTGAATCGAAAGAAGGCTTTTGCATCTTCTGTTTTCCTTTAATTGCCACCTAAAGCAGCCACATATATCTCCTATAGCCAGAGCCTGTCTTTCTCACACAAGTAGTTCCGGTAACTTTTGTGGGACAATTTATGAAAGCATGACAAACAAGATTTGGCTCAAGATGCACAACAATATGGACTTTCAAAAGAACACACTTCATTTTTATCTGCTTCCAGCAAAAACCAGTAGAGCAGTAAAGGTATACTAGTGAATATGCAATGTATTCTGGTGATTTGGTAGCCCCAGTCCTAATTGGTTCTTGCCATTGCTAATTAGCATGACAATATAATCTAAATATATGCATTTAATTGCATCTCTTCAAACAGAGCCTTGGTTTTCTTTGTCCTAAATAAACATGTATTCTGTATTTTATAGGAAGTCCTGTAATTAATCTTCTTTATATATTTATCATATTTTATCTCAAGTCATATCAAATGACGTTAAACTCGCATTTACATAATACATTTTATTTTTATAATAAATGATGTTCAGATAAAATCGCAGAGAGATATTTCTGCAAAGTGTAAAAGAGAATAAGCAGCAAACAGAGATCTCTTAGTCTGCTTGCTCAAGTCTGGCACATCCAAAAATAATTTTGCTGTTGTTTCCACCGTCTTTTTTATACATACTGTACAAGTATTTCAAAACACTGTGACCACTCCATAACTGAATCCGAGTATGATTAGTTCTTGAAATGAACTGTTAGTGGCTGTGCTGATTGGTAATCAGAATTAGAAACATCTCCAGCTTCACTCTATGGCTAGCATGGAAAATTCACTTT